GGAAGTGATGAGTGGCATCTTACACTGGACGGCTGCAAAGGAGACTACGGTGGGAATCAAAGTATCAGTTGTATAGGAGTTTGAAGAGGAGTGGGATGAGGGTACATATTATTAGGCATTTGCGATCGGTTATGATAATCCAGCTCGTCTGGCAGGCCTTTACATCCACTGCTGTCATTTCACGCGGTCTTGTATCACTCAAAATCGAGGACGTGCGATGTGAGCGCTAAAATAGATCGGGTAACGTTTGCGTTTATTAAATAAATCCCTCACGACTCTTATTCTTCGCTCGCGCTCTTACGGTGATGATATGATAGTAAATACAAGGGCTGTAAGAAGACCAATTGTTGTATTAAGTGGCTTTACGGACGTTTCTGAGATAAGCCGGTTGCTCCTCTAAATGTTTTTTCCTGCGAAATATGGCAGCCGGCAGATGGTGGAAGACTGAAGAGCAGAAGGAAGTATATTAAAGTTCACACGGCAACCAGGTGGACAATCAAACATAGTTTGATGCTACTCTGGTTTGCGGAAGGTTTACTTCTAAGTCGAGTAGAGACAAAAGACCGATTCTGGGACATTTTTTCAAAAGAATCAGAAGTTTCCGATTTTTTAGCGCTTAGCCTGTTGAGAACAAACATCACCTCCCTCCCTTCCCATTACCTTTTTTTTTTTTTTTTTTTTTTTATACGCCACTCCATTCTTTACCCCTCCCCCTACTTTACTTCTCTCCCTTCCCCTACATCGGAGGGTAGCTTGGTTACCACAGCGCTATGTTGTTGTTCCCAGGTTCCACATTTGGAACACGTTGAGATCATGGGACAGTCACGAGCTGTACCTCCAGACAGTCCAGACGAGAAAGGTGAGGTAATTTTGAGTCATAAGACCTAAGTAATTGACATGATAAACGCTTTTCTATCTCAGGTTATCACGCAGATTTCAAATCGTTTCAGGTTTAAACATTAGTCAGCTGTACTGGACCTTCGATTGCTCCAAAATTCGGTGAGCCTTGCAATTTGTTAGTGAAGCGTTACACTTACATAATATTTTTCTTGATGTGTATGTTATTGACAGGCCACATGCTAAACGTTTCCCTGATATTGTTCGTCATACTGAAGAGCAGCTTACGATAACGCAAGATACATGTAGTTGAAATACTTTGAATTTCAAGGAGAAATGGATGGGAAACTATTGATGTATCGATGACTCACGTGCGACAACCCCCCTTTGTAATATCTTCACCCCCTTGCAAACTCGAGGCTGTTGTTCCACCACCCAGACCATCATTTCTAGATAAGGCTATTCTTTTTCATGATGCATCCCACTTTTGTAAGATTTGAGTTTCCTCACAGCCCCACCATTCCCATCTTTTTCCCATCAGAGTCATGGCTTAACACAGATAGCCCAAGCTTCAGCTGTGAGATGATCATCTTGTGAAATAAGAGTCATGGCAAAAAGATAAGAGTTTGTATGGGAATATTTATGACCGCTCTTAGGAAAAAAAAATACTGTCAAATTCTCAATAATATCTCATACCTTGCCATACTTCCACAGTGTGTTGCTTGTTGTCTGAACATTACTATGCTGAAAAGAAGCCATTTTAGCAAGTTATCAATTTCTAGGGTTACTACTCCTAAGAGAAGGACCTTTTCTTATATTTTTGCCATGACTTGTATTACCAAAGATGATCATCTCACAGCTGGAGCTTGGGCTGCCTGTGGACCTAGCTACAGATATTATTTGTAAAAGTATTGATTTTCCTCTGACCATCAGCTTAGCAAGATGCAGTTGACTTTGCTGAGCAGAGTCTTAGTATTTGCATTGCTCAGCCATTTGCCATGGTCATGTGCAGCCAAGGAAAGCTCCAAGCCTCATATCATATTCATTGTAGCAGACGACTTGGTAAGACTTGCAAACATGGACCCCAGTGATAGAAAAGACCCAGCCAGGAAATTGGCCATGGGCAGAGGGAGTAGATGGCAGGGGAGAGGGAAGATTTGCATGTAATGGCTTACTTCCTTGAACCATTACTTTCCTGTTCTCATTGAATCCCTCTTTAAAAATCCCTAGACGACCATGTAACCTTTTAACCCATTTAGGTTTGATCATGCATAACTCAGGAATGTATATATACAGAAGTTTATCTCCAAATAAGGCTATGAATTAGACAAGGTTTGTAGGCTTAAAGGTAACTATCTAAAATTTTAAAAAATTAGATGCTCTTAGGAGACATTTCATTATACATGTAAATGCAATTCAAAAGCCCTGTTAAATTTGTCTTTTAACCAATATTCCTCACACAAGACAGTCCCTGTGTGGGATTGCAGAATACGTAGCCACCTTAAACTCTAAGCCTCATGCCTCTCTTCAGTGTTATGAAACATGTTTTCACAAGGAAATGGCAGTTTTGTTTGATTTTTTCTTTTATTTTGCTTTTAGGGTTGGGATGATGTAAGTTTTCATGGGTCTGACCAGATTCCTACACCAAACATCGACAAACTTGCAAAGGATGGTGTTATCCTGAACAATTATTATGTACAACCCATATGCACTCCCACACGAAGTGCGATTATGACTGGCAAACATCCAATCCATACAGGTTTGTCCACTGCAGTTTTGATCAGCTTTAGTGTGAGCAAAACATTTTGAGGTGCATGCACTCACACTTTGGTTTCCTTGCATGAAAAGTACTTTCAACAGTACATTTCAAAATCTAGCTAATACTGTAGTTTCATGTGTCACACTTATATCCAATATTTCTTTTTTGCAGTAAATTGTTTAAAGTTAGAAGAAAAAGATAACTTGTTGCATCTCAAGATCTGACTTTTAATTCTCCTCTCTAGCTGAAACTCATTTGTTGCAAATTAATTGTGAGAATTTGGTCTTAGATCAAAATAGAAACTTCTACCCTACAACTTTGTTTTTGAAGTGACATATTGATCACTCCTGGCAGTTAAAGGTCTTACCATCTGTTTGAGGGTTGTGCTTTGAAAGAATGTCATTGACAGCAATCACTGACAGTTTTTCGACCCTGAGCCTGGCAATCAGACAACATGGATGTCTAATAATATTTTCCAATAAGTTGATAAATTCTACTTTATGCATGAGCAATAGTTGTAATTTTACATTAAGATAAACTCAACTTTCATTAGGTATGCAGTCTGGTGTTATTTTGGCTGCACAACCATATGGACTGGGTTTGAATGAGACTCTCATTCCACAGTACCTTAAAGAATTTGGATATGCAACTCATGGAGTTGGCAAGGTGTGGCTGGAAGTATTTATTGTAAATAATCATTTTGATAAATTATTTTCTTGTCATCAGTCCACTACTCTGATTATTTACCATTTTTCAACTTGAAGTCTATAGTGTAAGTCTGATAGGAATACTTAGGAAACAGGGATCCTGGCTGAATATTTAGCAGGATCCTGTGCAAGAGGTTCCTAAATGGCAGAATCCCATTTGAGATACACCTGTATATACCTGGGATCAGGATAGATGAGATTCCACCTCCTATATTTACTTGGGATTTTATTGAGGTTTTTTTTTTTCTTTTTGTTCACCCTCAGTGGCATCTGGGTTTCTTCAAGTCAGAATACACACCCACTAAGCGTGGATTTGATTCATTCTTTGGCTATTGGAGTGGTAAGGAAGATTACTGGGATCACTCATCAGATGCCCCTGGCCAAGGGTGGGGATTGGATTTCCATAACAACACCAAGGTTAGTGAATGTGCACGTGAAAATTTAATTTTTCTCTCCCAAATGGAATTGTTTGGCTGAAAAAAAATTTTTTAAAGGGTGAATAACATCATGCGTTAGAAATTTTTTTATTTAACAGGGTCAACATGTGAGTGCAAATGTGGATCAAACGTTATCCAGTTAACCCTATGGCCCCTAAGAGTGACCAGCATATAATTTCTCCATACAACATCACCCCTGAATCACACATTTAGGTCATGAGAATAAAGGAAATGATCACCAGTTTAAAAAGCTCTTGATTGTTCAACAAACTCTCATTGTTAGTACCATAGGAAAATGTACAGAGAACAGTATGGAGAATATGCATACTGATGTTAGGGTGTAAGAAGTTAATCCAATGCAGCAAGCAGTGGAGGGATACAGTATAATTTAGCTCAATTTCAGAAAGAAATACTTGCAGTGATAAAAATGGCTTGTTTAAACCTCATTACATAAATTGATGAATTTAAAAGTCCAGTTGGTAAATTAGAGTTGATTCACTTTTACCTTACAAATATGAATACTCAGGGCTGGTTACACATTTATTGAATTCACCCCCAAAGTTATTTATTGACCCAGCTCCTCCATTTTAAACATTTAGTGACTGCAAATCTTAAAGTGAAAAAAAAAAGTTTTAATCTAATCACAAATTGCTTGCCGAAGGGAAGATCTTAGATTTTTTTACCCCTCTGACTAAGCTAGGCGTAATTCTTTATTTGTTCACAAACCCAAAACTCTGTTAATTGCTTTCATAAGGAGGATTAAGGAATTCAAATTATTACTAGTGAACCCTTTCACTCTCAAGATCTCATTAGAAATTCTCCTAACTGTATGTTGTACAATTTTAATGATGTGAGGTGGGAGAATTTGGTATTGGATCAATTAATAATTCCCTAATTGATATTTTTCTTTCTTCTCGTGACTTTTTGGCTTGATATTGTGTCAATATTATAATTATTAGGAGAAATCCTATCTTGGTCACTCATGGGAGTTAAAGAATTAAGCAAATGGCAGGGATTTCAAGTGTAATAGGCAGCTGTGCCCTGGTGAAGGGAAGACAGGTTTTAGACAGCATTAAGGGGTCTTGTGGGCTGCCCTAGACTGTTAGTAACTGGCTTTTTGTAAAAACTCTGAAAATAGTATTGAGAAGAATGTCTACTTTTATTCAGAATGAATTTACCAAATGGGGCATGTACAGCACTGAACTGTTCACCACTTTGGCGGTTGACATTATCCAGTCACATAATCATTCCAAGCCTTTGTATCTGTACCTACCCCATCAAGCAGTACACAGTGCAAATGGAATACAGCCCCTTCAAGCCCCTGAGAAACTAATCAAGAAGTTTAAGCACATTGAGGATGAGCGAAGGAGGATCTATGCTGCAATGGTTACTGCCTTGGATGATTCTGTTGGAAAGGTAAAAATAGGGAACTATCTCATAAGTAGTCTCCTTGGTAGCCATTGTGTGGTCTTGTCACGCAACTTATTTGGAGGGAGAGGAAAGGCGTTGCATGACACGACTGAGTAATGACTACACAAGAGCTTGTCTCCATTTTGTTCATGTTAAAAATTACAGCTAAATGTTTTCAAGTTTGATATTTGCAATTCTTTGAGTATACTTTATCATTAGGTAATAAAAGTCTGTTCTCGAGTGGCTCATCCAGTCGGGGCTTTTTTTTGGTTTATGTAACATAAGGTGACTACTAGTACTGCTTCTCTCCTAAAATGGATGTCTAGTTTATCACAGGCTACCACCCCTTTCTTTCCTTTCCTCTCCCCCCCTCCCCCCCCTTTACTTCCCTGGAATTTATTTGGCTTCCCATATAAACTCCTGGGTGGGGAGGGCCACTTTTGATACTAAACTGTCTTGCCCAACAACACAACACTATGACGTCTCGAACTCGGGCCTTTCGATGCGGACTTCAGCGCTCACTTTTTCATCCTGTGCTATCCATTCCTTGGTTGTTCCTTCTTAAATTATGGCCTCTCAAAGTATTTTTTTACTTAACCAAGCTGATGTTTTTCTCTCCTGTATTTAGGTAGCAGACGCCTTGGTAGCGAACGGTTTGTACAATAACTCTGTGATCGTATTCACTACAGACAATGGCGGCCCGGCAAACGGGTTTGACAAGAACATGGCATCCAACTTTCCTTTGCGTGGAGTGAAAGCTACTTTGTGGGAAGGTACATGCGATTTTTGCGGTGTTTCACACAATAAAGTCCCAGTTTGAAATTGACAAAGGCAAAATTTATTTTAGAAAAATTAAAGGCTTTTGAATCTTAAGCTGAAATCTGACCAGTTAATGTCGTTCTTTGATATTCTTAACTGCTCATTGTGACATGTTTCATGCATGATGAGTGCCCTCACATTTACAAGTATGGTCGCGGCTTTTTTAATGGCCGTAGCTAGCTTGAGAGGTGAATTGTCTGTTTTTGTGAAGAGAAGTTTGGTGACTGGGAACTGGTTGTTTCGATAAAAGTCATTTTGATACAAGTCGATTGGATACAAACTTAAGTCAATTCTACTCATCCTTGGAATCTTCTTTAGGTGAGTTTTGGTTTATCATCCAGAAATCCAATTACTCCTTTATTAATATGTATCAAAGTGACTGAAGTTGTATCGAGACGACTTTATACGTGTATCGAATCGACTTTGTGTATATATTGAATTGATTTGTCTCAAAACGACTTTGTAACGAAACGACAGTCACTGTAAACCGATCTACAACTTCCTCTCTTGAAGACCTAATCAAATATTGATAAACACCCACACACCCACTGCAGAATAGGAGACAGCTATCTGTGAAGTCAATTCAACAGGATCTCGTGAATATGATATGGATATTTACAAGGTGGTGTAGATCTTGAGTGAGTTTAGATATTATTTTTATTTCAAAATTCGAGATTCTATTAGACGAACTGACTACTGACGGGGAAAGTTTAAAAAAATGTAAATTCAACTTGTACTTTCGGAGAATGTTAAGATAAGCACCGTGACTTCCTCGGCCTGAAAAAAATGAGGAGGTTGACATTTGTTTTTCTTTATTTTCCACACAAGACAATCCCTATTTAATTTACTCTTGGAAGAGTGGTTTTGACTGTAAATTTTATTCACAGGCGGAGTTCGCGGAGCAGCCTTTGTTCACAGTCCCTTGTTAAAGTCAAGTGGCCGAGTAAGCCTTGACCTGATGCACGTGTCTGACTGGGTTCCTACCTTATATGGTTTGGCGGGAGGAGACACCAGCAAGCTTACTGACCTTGATGGGGTCGATATGTGGGATACCATCTCCAAGGGAGAGAGTTCCCCCCGTCAAGAATTACTGCACAACATTCATCCAAGTGGCGGGGAGGCTGCTATGCGGTATGGCCAGTGGAAGATAGTTGTTAATGCAAGTAAGTGAACATTGAAATATCAAGCCTTTTATACGCGTACCATCTATCATTAGGAGGAACTGAACTTAAATGCTGCTTCCCCCAACGTTTTTTTTTTATTATACAATGGCTTCACTTGTTCAGCTATCATCCTCAAAAGGGTTTAATGCTCAGTAAACCCCACAGATGTTTTTGTTTTAGGTTATTGTTAAGCTCTTCTGCACCTGACTTACACATGAAACTTTCAATCAATTTTTCCAGTCACTTGTTAACCCTTTAACTCCCAAGATCTGATTGTGAATTCTCCCTTTTAGCTGCTAGACATTTCCTTGTAAATAAGTTACAGGAGTTTGGTGTCAGATGGAGATAACAACTTCAAAAACTTCTCATGACCTGTTTGCTGGATAATGTTTAGATATTATAGGGGAGAAGTTCCTTGTTAATCACTTCTGGGAGTTAATGGGTTAACCCTTAAACCAAACGATAAAGCGATTGGGACCTTCCAGCACACAATGTGGCCCAATTTTGTTTTTCTTTCGGCCTCCTTTACCAGTCAAAGATAGACTCGCGAATTCTTACTGAAGGTAACTAGAGTCAAGGGTGTGTCAAGGCACAAGATGGAGGCAGGCGCGCGAGGAGTGACTCACGTTCCTATTCTCACGCCTGACTTAGACTTGTTTCCCCCCCTTACGCGCTCGTTTTGCGCTAGCCAGCTCAATTGAGTTATGTAATTAAACCCATGTCTTTTGAGCAGAATAGAAAGGGCTAAATGCATTAATTATATATTGCAGGCAAAGGCTGGAATGGATGGTATCCTCCACCCGAATACGAGAAATCAAACATCTATAACAACACCTTAAAAAACGCAGCGGTGAAATGCGACCAACCGCCCAGTGACCCACCAACATGCACCAAGTCTGAAGGACCTTGCTTATTTGATATCGAGAAAGATCCTTGCGAGTATGTAAATCTGGCGAGTCAACACAACGACATCGTTCAGGAACTGTTGGCAAAGTTGGAGAAATACAGAAAATCTAGTGTTACGCCCAGAAACCAGCCTATAGACCCTAAGGCGAATCCAATATATCATGGTGGAGCTTGGATTGCATGGGACGATTAGAGTTATTCTTGATCTAGTGTCCTGAATCCTAATCCAAAGTAACATTTTTCTGGTCGGTCGTTGTAATAGCTTTTATTAGTTTTAAGACACTCAATTGAAATACGCTGCTCTGCTGCAGAAAAAAATTTGGACTTAGAGATTATTTGGAGAGTTAAATTGTGGCAAACTCTAGATGTTGTAGAATAGCTCACCTATCAGTAGCTGGCGACACACGCCTTTACTATCTATTAGCCTCACTAACGCCGACATGTTAGGCCAAAATGAGCATCATGTTTTTCATTGTCACATCAAAGCATTTGCTGAACTTAAAGACAGCTGAGTTTGGATTGGAAACTAACGAGAAAGTATGATCTAAAAAAAAAAACGATGGTGTGGGGTTAGGGTAGGTGGGATAATTTTTGTAGGTTAACGATTTTTAAAAAACCACTCAGAGGCGGCAATATTTTCGAGATTAAGAATTTTAATCAGTTGGTGGATTCAATAAAGACAGTGTTGGAAAGTAAAATTTGACTGAATAAATGTGTGGCAATTTGAAGTTAGCTCTGAAGTATCTTGGGTACCAAAGAATTTAGCCATACTAAAATGATTATTACATTATATTAGTCAACTAAGAGATTTTTACCATAAGACCTTCAAAATCTCCCCATAAATTTTTTAATTACCTGCGTCTGCTAATTTCAGGCTGCTTTTTAGTTATTTTCAATCCTTCCCTATATTATTTTTTTATTGTTATTCTTGGATTTAATTTCTTCCTGGTTTTCCGCACGTAAGACTTACCAACCCTCAATAATTAGATTCCCTTGTTTATCAATCTCGCGACTCAGTACCAAAAGGGATCATTCCATTCCATCTGAACTGCTGCCGCATTTAAACCCAAACTCCCAGAGGCGATTCACATATAATTCTCCATCAGGAGCCCATTACCCGGAGCTTCCATCTTCCATACTTACCCTCTGAGTCAACCCTGTCCCGTATCTTTTTATTTTTAGAAGCACCTCCCACGGGGTTTTTCGCGGGTGTTTACATTATAGCCAATCATAAGAGAGCTGTGGTCCTCTACTGTTTACGTCTCCTGCAGAGAAGGAATAGAGGTCAGCCTTCGCCTTTGGCCGCCATTTATTTTTGGGTGTTATGCGAACATCAACGTGTTTTCGCGGGAAATTAAAGAACCCCCCACATATCTCAGTTCTAACAATAAAAAGATACGGGACAGGGTTGACTCAAGGGTACAATTGGTATGGAGGCTCCGGGTAATGGGCTCCTGTTCTCCATATAGTATCCATACATTATCTAGCAAACAGGTAATGTGAATACATAAACTTATTAGGTAGAAGTTGTTATCTTGATCTAACGCCAAATTCTCGTAAGTAATTCGCAAGGAAATGTGTAGCAATTAGAGGAGAGAATTAGCAATCAGATCTTGGGAGTTCAAGGGTTAACTTCCCGGACCCGAAGAGAGACTTTCATGAGATGCACAGCAACGTGGCAATTCTTTGTTTTCCATTAAGAGATGTTTGCCCATGGCTTTTGGTAAAGATGAATTTGAAAGACGCAATCACGTTACCGAAGGAACCAAATTACAATCATTTCTGCCTTAATTCTTTTAAATCCCCACCCACAACCTGCTAAGTGACGATCAACCACACTGAGTGCCCTGGCACTACTCCTCGCAGTTCTCATTTGGTTTCTCGTCACACCACGCTGTCCACACGCCATCATGGAATTTGGGATCCGCGTTCTTGTCGTAGGGTTTATTCCTAATCGGCACCATAGTCGCTTTGTACTTCTCCAGCAATTGCAACATCATTTTCAGCACGTCCTTCTCTTTCTCAGCTACGTTGGTGTACTCACATGGATCGTCTTGGATGTTGAAGAGGCATGGCCCGTCCTTGACGCCACACTTCGTGGGCTCAGCTGGCTGCGGTCCGCACGTCACAACTGCGTTTTTCAGAGAGGGAAGGGAGGTGGTGAAATTGCGCGGTGATCGTGCGTTTTCCTCGATCCCCGGCGGTGGGTACCATCCGTCACGACCACCACCGTCAGCTTGACAGAAGTAAAATTGTATTATCAATAATCAATAAAAGTGTAACAGTCAATAACAGTACAATAACTTGCCAATCAAGCTAAAAATTTTACATCTCTCTTACCCTATTTCTAAACACAACGCCTATAACATAGACAATCCTTGCAGAGTGTAGACCCCTCGTTGCAAATAAACTAAGCCCTAGCGCGTTGGTGCGATAACGAAACGGTAATTAGGAGAGGCCTCTCCTGACAACTTTGGTCCCATTTCAATACCGGACAGTAAGTGTGAAGTGTCATAGCTCTAAGGTCTGGCGCGCAACAACGGTTAGAGTTGCCAAGGCATTGAGTTCCAGGTTAAAATTAACGCCCTAACTTCGGTACCCAGATTCTCCATGCCCTTTTCCATACAATTCTTTTGGTACTGACAAGGAGAATTTGTTTAACAATCAAAGTTTCCTAGTTCGGTGATCATTTCCCTGTATTCTTATCATGTCAATGAGTGACTCAAAAGCATTACTGTAAGGGAAAAGTAGATGCTAGTCACTTTTAAGGTTTAAAGGGTAAAATAGACACACAAACTCAGGAAACGCTGCCTTGGTGCGACAAATTCACGCAAAAACTGCAGCCCAGGCACGCCGTTTCAACCTCAAGATGATGGAGAGTTTGAGTCTTCCGAGCTCCTAAAAAGACCGTTTTACAGCATGCTTTTAGGATATCACGAGAACATATTTCTCACTTTCATTCACCAACAGTTTCCATTGTTCATATCGCAGCGCAGATGCCCACGTCACTGGGTCAATGTTATGCACCAGTTCCTTTCGAGGAGACTTCTCGCCCTTGGACAAAGAAGGCCACATATCGTACCCATCTATGTTAAGGAGCTTCTGCGCGTCCCCTCCCGCACGCCCGTAGAGCGTAGGGAGCCAGTCTGACAGATGCATTAGGTCCATGCTCACACGGCCTGTGGATGCCAAGAGGGGGCTGTGGACAAAAGAGGTTCCCCTGATTCCTCCTGACGGATTAAGAGATGATACTAG